CACATAAATGGTTATATACTTATATATATTTATATATATATGTGGGTACAATATATGTAGGTGCAAATGACTATGTAAGTTAAGCGATGGGAACTCCATCGAGCCTCCTGTACTCTTAGCTGGTGTTCATCTAAAGATTTATTTGGGTGCCGCTAATAATATTGGTTCTGTTTGGCTGTATACGATTTGGCTGTTAGCATTGGAAGTAGAATTTCCAGGTACATCACACACGGCTTAATCTCGGACGAATGATTACCTCAAGTAGAACTCGATCTATAATGATAATGGTACTGGCCTGACATTTCATCATCTCCCATTAACTTTGGATCATGTATGCCCGGGAACTACTCTGTTCTTGATCTGCTACTCCTTATTATTTCTCTCCTTCGAAGGCCATGCGTCTGTGGGTTGTCACCGAAGTTATCAGCGCTTTCAATGGGACAAGCCTAACAATTTATGAATGTGTGAATCATAACTGTTGGTATTTGTTGTTATCAGTGACATGTGTGAATAGTCATACATCCCCCCATACACCCTGTGAAATCAACTATCAGTGACATGTGTGAATAGCCATACTATCCCCCCATATACTCTGTGAAATCAATTATCAGTGACATGTGTGAATTGTCATACATCCCCCAATACACCCTGTCAGATTCCCAGTAAGACACCACTACCCACTCCTCATATTGACCGTATCCTGCTACCGTTTGTGCACACATGCGCCTCGACGGTGTAGGTATGCTGAGCATGCCGCAAGCAACATCCGCGCGTGGTTTGTTGATAAGGAGACCCGCATGAACCCACACATGAAGTTTGCGCAGTTGCGTACGGGCCACAAGAAGGATATAATCAATGGCGGGTTCCAGAGTGGTATCATTGAGACGAAGGACCTATACTTTGTGCTGGACACTGTTCGGCTCATCCACAGGTCGGGAAAGCTTTCGGCGGCGGAGTACAAACAGGTAGGTGCACTACGTATTCGGAAGATCGAATGCAAGGCGCTCTTATGCACTCGGTATGCATGATGTGTACGTGTATGTAGAATGTATATGTCGTGTGCACATCTGTGTATGTGTATACGTATACGTGTATACATAAAGTGTGTTCCGCGTGTCTGTGTAAGGACTTGCCAGTGCTATGGAAAACGAGAATACTAGTTGTCTGACTGATTCTGCCACGCTCTATCCATGTGTATATACATCATAGCTCCTTTCTTTCTGTGCATTGTGTTCATTAGTAGGATATTATCTCGTTGTTTGGCTGATTGTTACGCTTTCGTTGTGTGCTGTTTGCTTTTCATCACGTGTAAGCTTCACTACACAATCGCTCTGTCCCCTTGATTGGTGACTGATATCTCTGCCTCGTCTGCTTTATCATGCCTGGCTGCTTGGCTCATTGAAGGTTCAAACGTGGACAGGCGCGTTCCTCAAGTACCTCACCACCAAGAATCAAGGTGTGAACGAACGGAAGAGCAGGAACAACCACGGCACTTACTACGATGTACAGGTATGAACAAGAGATTAAACTGCACGCGTTTGTATACGTTTGTTATAATGAATTGCCGTCTACTTGCTGTACCCTGTGTTTACAAACCTTGATGTATAGACGCCAAGGGATAAGAGTTGCTCAGTATGTCCCTTCCAGCTTTGCCCACACACTAGCCGATCAGACCCTATAGGAAATCGCACCCCACACGTGGTGCATGAACATCTATCTGCAAATGAACGCATTTTAGTTCGTTCCTGTTTGCACGACTCCCGTAAGTTTAAACGTTTTCATCCAGCGTACGAATCCCCCACCCGTATCGATATCTCGCATATGTAGTTGAAGCGTTTACGCGTTTCATACTACGTTTCAAAGTATTTTATGTTCAATTCGTCAATGTATCCTTTGTAAACAACTCTTATTTTTTTTCACCTAGAATTGCACACCACATAGTGCACATCCATGTTTAATTGGTCTATGTATCATTCGTAAACGCCTCTCGTATTCAATATCACCTTAGGCATGTACGTTCATCTTTAGATGCTCTTTATATACTTCGTAAACGTCTCTCTTATTTCTCTCTTATTCGTGGTCACCCTCTTCTTTCATCGGTACCCATAGGTTGCGGCATTGGCTGCGTTTGCGGACGATGTGGTTCTATTCCGTCGGCAAATGGAGCGGAGTCGTGCGCGCGTAATTGATCAGTTTGCAATCGATGGGTCGATGCCAGATGAGATGAAGCGGCCTACACAGCTGCACTACATGCTCTTCTCTCTCCAGGGTATGTTTCGTCATGCATAGTTTGTGTTTGACTAGATGTTTCTTAGCCTTCAGAGTGTGTTATACCATGTCGGTAGTCTATTTGTGAAGACGTATTGTACGTTCGGGATATGTTGTGCCGATACTGTGTATGCGTGAGAGAGAGAGAGAGGGAGAGAGTTTGCGTCGATACGTTTCATATACACATGTGCGCCCTACCAGTACCGAACTTCTGTGCAGAGTTCGAATGGATCGTGGCTGAGCGTGCGGGATGTTGTATTCAGTTGCCGCAGCTATGAAACACAGCTCAGGCAGAGCCAATATATCAAGGAACCCTCATTATGCGGTGTATATGTGCAACCGAGCCAACAGTTTGCAGTTTCACACATTTACGTTCGGATCCAGTCACCTATCCGATCTTAATTATATAGTCCGTATGCCCTGTAGTAAGTCCTTCCCCGTTGTGTTGACCAGCGAAAACAGTGCTCAGAGGAGTCGCTTGCTGTGCCATGTTCTGAGAACATAGTGGGCTCACATATCGTACGAATATAGCTCCGCTGATAAGAGGAGGATATATACACTGCCCACAGCTACCCTTTCCATCGTGTGTCTTAGTCGGTAGGATTTAGTTCTGCCATTCGACTAACCTCTATCCCTCTGTACTCTCCGTAGGCTGGTACACTCTGGCTACGCTAGCAACCAAAGCGGGCATAGACATATATGGGTTTGTTCCCCCCGCGCACAAGGCACCCGTTCTGCGCAATGCCGCCATATTTACCGTACCGTACTTCAACGAGACGTGGACACACCACCAGGTATGTGAGGTTTAGCGTAGATTGAGACGGTTGGGACCATGTACAGGGGATACTCAGAAATACAGTGATTGATTGAAGTGTTAGTAAACCGGGAACTCAAAAATACAGCGATTGTTTGAATTGATAGTATGGCGCCGTGACGTCCTCGTGTGTGCGAGCTCTTGCTCAGCTGCACGCGGGATACTTGTGTTTCTTTAACCAGGCACGCCCCATAAGCTACACATAAACTTAATCGAATATATGTAGATATATAAATCTGGTTTAGATAGTCGCAATAAGCTATATTACTTCTATTGTACTGAATGATAAGGAAAACGTGAATTTCTGTGACTATAGGTATCGTGTCACATGTTGTGGTCAATTTGCGTGAGACCGCAAACTCTTATGTACTGAATGTAGTTGCAATATTTTCGTTGCCATATATAGAGTATATAAGCATACATATCGGTATCACATATAGTCCTGCGTCGGAGTAGAATACAAGACAACACCGTGGTAGCACATCAAGGAGGGCCGCGCCCGATCTGTGCGCATCATTGAACATGCCTTTAAAGCTATTACACGGCATTAGTCTTTATATATTTCCGACAAAAGAAATACTTTTGATCTGATTCATCGCTTGCTAGTGAGCTAACGATTTCGGCGATCTGCCTTTGGTTTTAGCAATCCCAAGCTAGATGCAACACGAGTACATACGCCCACCAACGCCAAACATCAAGCGATCAAATTTGCAATGTCGCATCCTACTAGAAAATCAACAGAAATTATCACCGAACATCAGAAAGTCTGGTCAGACAGCCAAAAAATATGAATTTTGTCAAGACATCAATCCGAGTTATAAATAGAACTCCAAATACGCCTTACCCAACTCTTATCGATCACTAATCATTTTAGCAAATTGAACCTGGATTACTAAATACCGAACTATACAACAAAATGACAGACGGAAGAGGAGGATATGGAACGTATGCTTCCTTTGTACTTCATGGCTCGCAGGCAGTACCCCGATCTCACAGTGGTCAAGTAAGTAGAGAGCACGACACGTAGCCATGTCTGACATGTGCAGCGTGAAACGCAAAACATAGAAAATACAACATACAACAGTTGATGCGTATTATGTATTGTATTGAGACATGTGAGGAAGTAATGATACGCTGGCTCACTCCGTTATTGTTCAATGTGGAATTCAGCTTTCTGGTGCAAGCGTTGTATTCCCTATCGCTTAAGTGGAAGAGCCCTCACCATATATGCTATGTGATATATATTCGTATGCAAGTTATATTAAATCTGCTTCAATATAATATATATATACACACATATATATGTATGTGTGTGTGTGTATACATATATGTATATATATATATATATATATATATATATATATATATATATATTAGTTGTAGTAGTAGTAGTA